GAAGTTGTCTGCTTGGGTGTGTTGTCTGCTATTGCAGACATTGCGTCGCCTTTCTGCACTCACCCGAACACTCCCTTAATGCCGTTCTTCTAATGTGATACTCGTCCAACCCCCCTTTCCAGCTCTTTTTTGACCCCATCTATTTCTTTTTGTTCATCGTTTTTTGCGCTTTTTCCGTTGTTATCGCTCTATTCTAGAGTAGTTCTATGAATTCCCGTCAAAAAAGGGTACCCTAAATTTATCGTAAACGGTGTCTTTAAGTCAAGAAATGCTGCCCTGTTCTGGTATGTCGGGATAAGGTCTCATCTGGGTTCTAGGATCCGCAATTCTTCTTATTCATCGACTACTTGACATTTTTCCCTTCGAAGAGGCTAAAATGTCAGGATGATACGAGCTAATCTTCATAGGTCTCCGTGCAGTGCATAGGCACCCTAATTTCTGCAATCGTATGTGGAGGCCAACTGGTACCTCCACAAAAATCTCTACAAACGACAATTATTAATATCATTTCACTACTAAATGGTATAGAAATTCATACCTGACATTTCAGGATGCGAGACTCGTCACAATCGTTTCCTTCCCATATTGGACACGATATCGAAAATCCATCGCAGTGGGTGCGACTAGATGATACCTGGGAGGTAAGCTTTCACAGAAAAAATTGATGTTACTTCCAAAAACACGGCATGCTAGAGCAAAAGTTAAGAGTACTCGTTCTGAATGTCTCCTATAATGGATGAGTGTTGCAGTCGCCCTACTGAACCTCTCACCCGTTCTAAAAAACATAAATTTTCACCTCAGAAGGCCACAAGGCATTGCATCCATGAGACATAATGAAATCGAATACATGGCGCATTCTGAAGGGGACAATTCTAGGCACCCCTGAAGGGAAAGGGCGTTGTTCTTAACAATTTTTCGTGAACTCTTACCTCCGACTTGGTGAGCAACAAATTCGTCATTTTCAGGCAGCCACGCCCATTCAAGAGAACTCCCCGCCCACTTTGTCATTTGGCTGTGAAGCGGATGAAATGAGCAGCGGTCGGCTCTATGACGCTGATTTACCTAACGAACATGACCAGGTTCGTTATTTTTACGGCATTCCAATGTTTTTTTAGAACGGGGTAAACAGCACACGGTGCATTTCAAAGACGTCCATTGTGGAGACCTCCGAACGTCTGAGGCATTAAATACTTTCAATTCAATACATGTAAACAGTAAATCGATCTGAGTACCCGTAGGCCCTTACAACAGTGCTTTCCTTACTATAATAGGCTACTTATAGAATGTTTTGTTAAGGAGATTAACATTGAAATTGAGAAAACGTGAGAAAACTCATAGATGCGCGCAGTAGTACCCGAGTAACGTTTTCTAGAAAAAAAAGAAGTAACACCTCAAGTGGTCAGACCTACGTACTGGTCACCATGAGTCAGTTTTAGCGGTGTGCAGTGGGCTTGGCATGGCTCTATGCCCGAGTGTTTCCAGAACTGCTTATTTTCCGTAAACATAATTGACAGAAATATTAGGTTGATGCATAATTATTGCGGATTTTTTCGCGGCTTTTTTTCTCCCGATAGAATTTGAATATTGAGTCCGGGTTTT